CCCTTAAAAGAGCAGAAATTTAATGATGACCCCCCTGCATATTAGAATATTTTTCTTTGACCCCCCCCTCCCCGATTTTCATTTTTACTCGTCAAATAAATTGGGATACCCAGGCGTTATAGCCGTTAATTATTAAATAAGAATATGGAACTGACAAGATATTAACGTCGACCAAAAATATATATTAGCAGAAAATTACAATTAAAAGAGGAGTATTTTTATATATAACATTAAAATCAGGTTTCCATTTGGTCTGAGCGATTGCAACTATGCATGTTTAACGGCAGAGTATTAGTGTTTCGAAGCAGGTGCCGTTTGTGGTCCAAGGCTGCAACTAGACTTGATGGCACGAAGTATTGCCATAGCAGCTGCGCAGCAACAATGAGAGTAACAATCAGTAATATTAGCAGCAAAAGGAGATAGCCATGACAATTCTGCCAACTCCAAGCCATACCTCCGGCACCAGTCACACTGACAAGTCAGTGGAAACGAAATACAATGTATAGAGGTCTATACATCCTATTTTATGTGAGATTAAAAATTATATAAAATAGAATGACATACTACCAGATAAAATCCTCTAGAATAAACATGCGTGGGTGGGTGGGGGGAAAGGTATCGAAGCGCTAAACTTGCTGCAGCTAGGCAAAGCTTACAATGACATAATGAATATCCAGACCAAAACACTGATCACAAGGCGCGCAACATCCCTCTTTGATCGATATGACGTCACAGACTCCCCTCAGCGGATGTGCATGGCCTGCATAATACATCCGCTGTTAACCTTGCTTAAATGTATTTAACCACATCAAGATAACCGATGTAATAATACATTGTCAATTTATCTCTGCAATCAGTAAAGACTGATTTGTATACAGCACACAGAAGGCAAGATAAATTCCAGACTGTTTCACGTCAGTGACCATGATTTAGTCTCAACATTTACAACCAAAAGGATACCACGCTCATTAATTAAGCAAATTCCTTCAAATTTAATTGTAACCCCCCCCTCATTTTCCTGAAAATTTTAATAGCCCCCCCCCTTCTAGTCATTTATTTATACATATGGCCCCCCTTATTTTTTCCCTCCCCCCTTCCATAAATAATGACCGGTCCCTAAATTGTTAACGTCGGCTCCCTTCTTTTAGCCGATTCTTTCGCTCTTTCTTTCTGAGAAACCTTTTGAAATTTACAAAATCTTGCAAAAATGCGAGCAAAAATGAAATATACTTACAAGAAATTTATCAATCATCAAATCTGATCAAATCAAGAAATGTTTGCTATTTCCCTGTCGTCATGTAGTCGTTATAATGCAAACTTTAAATTGGACCAATCAGTGTCCGCTATTCATGACAGTCCGCCATATTTTTGAGATCAGTGAGGATGACCACCCACCGAACCACTCACGGTAACCCACGCCCGCGCTCATTGATGAACTTTAGACTTGGCTAATGCTTTCGTTTCCCCGGGTGTAAATAGCCGGGGGGAATTAGTACCCTCCCACGGCGCTTCGCGCCGTCGGCTCGGGATAATATTGCATTTGAAAATTCTGAACGCTGATTGGCTAAGAGTCGTGTTGATATAACTCAATGTCAACACGGAAACGTCAGAAAATTTCTTTATGTTTCTTTGTTCTATATTATAAAACAAATATAAAACACTTTTTCCGTATTGATATATAGTTGTATCAACACTCGTGGAAATTGGGAAAACTCGAAATTGTGTGAAAACACTCCGCCCTTCGGGCGTAGTGTTTCCACACAATTTCTCGTTTTCCCAATTTCCACTCGTGTTGATATAACTGTATATCAACACGGAAAATGTTTTATATTTGTTAAGTATAACCTGAACAATAATTTACTGAAACGACTGGTAGATTACTATATTTTTACTCAGTTTTAGATGCACTGCAGTGCAGATCATCATGACCAGTCCATTCTCCGAGAAAAACTAGTGATAAATGTCCGACCACTTTTTGAGTTGATCGGATATCTGTCCTTTCAAGAAAAATAATTATTTGCAGGCCTAGCTGCCTTAGATTGTAATAATTTCAAAATTTCCCTTAATTCTTGGTGTGTAAGTTACCGTGTTGGATGTTTTTGGAAAAGGATTTTTCTTGTTTACAAATCAATATTCATAACAACAGGTGTAAACAGAATAAATATCACAATGCATATTATTATCAAGTTGAAGAGGCCTATTCCTACGACCGTGTCTTTGAAATATTCCATATATGTAAATTTGTTAGGGTGTGACCGTCGTAAACTCGTTTAAATATAACCATTTCTTTCTTTTTCTAAACAATTCTGAATCACCCATAAGAAGTTGTGTGAAGCAAGACTAAACAACGGCAGTTCCAATGTATACACAAATGATACTAGACACACTCATAATGAGCATTCTAATCAACAGAATATTGACCAGTGTATACCGGTACACTCAGGTGAACGTCAAGAACGCGCACAACGTCGCCAAACTAATGTAAGAATACTGATCTATATTTATATTTATCCATAGTAATATGTAATATGTAATATGTCAACAGAATAACAAGTTTTGGATATTCGATGGAATACAAAAGAGGTCATTATCTATGTTGGTTTATGTTTATGCAAAAATGTGGTCAGTGTATCGTCACGAACCGCCTATATTGCTCTTCGCCAACTGGTCAACCAACAGCATTTGTTAATATTTTCAATAAGGCGCTGTCGTATAGCACGAATGCGTAATTGAACCAAAACATTGTTAATGGTTGGTTGGACGAAAGTACTGAATATACGCACGTGACAATGAACAGACCATTTTTGCATAAATCAAGACAAAAACATAGATAATTAGGCCTATTTGCCTCCATCCAGTTATATTGATATATTGACTTTATTGACACTCCCTTGAAGGGGCTTTTCAGTGACAAAATTACAACCTATGAATTACTATATTATTATTACATTAAATCCTAAATAGTTTTTATAATATATTAAAACAAAATTACGTACGTATATACAATAGCAGCAATAACCCAAACAACAACATCAACAACAGCGACAGCAACGGCGACAGCTACACCTACAGATGAATAACGTCGTGCACATAGTGATCTAGATATTGTTGAAGTAGTTTGTGTAATTTAGTTTTATTTTAAAGTTTGGGAAAGAGTTGCATAGTTTTAGATCAGGATTAATGTTATTCCAGAGAGTGATAGTTCTGTAGTGGAAAGTTCTTTGTCCAGCAGTGGTTTTGTATAAAGGAACATCCAATTTATTACCATTTCTTGTTTCCCGGAAACTCACAATGACAGAATGACTACGTTCTATTGACTACGATTTATCATTAAATTTTGCTAATACCGGCTACAACTGTTCATTTTCCCTCTTCTCTTTCGGTTTATAAGGAGTGCGAATCAATGAGATCTGAAATAACACAAAACAACGGAAGCCAAAGTGAATTGCCAACTGACGCAGGACTGACGACTGAAAAATATTCTCAACAGAAAAATTATGGTACAGGTAGCCAACAACCACAACAGTTGTCAAAAGAAGAATTTGGAAACCAAGAGAAATATCCTAGTCAGGACGTTTCTGACGTAAGTGTCGGTATATATCTGCATGTTGTCTGTGTAGCAGCCGGATTTGGGGGGGGGGGGAACTTGCGGGCGGAAAAATTAGGGCTAGAGAACGGGACATGGGCTGAGAAAAGGGCGGGTGTGAAAATCTGCATGCGAACACATTTGTACAGTGTTGTATAATTCATCCATAGTAATGTAACTTTATTTAGGGTCTTAATACAACCTGTAATGATCTGAAAAATCCATTTAACTATTACCGAAAAACGCGCAACATCATTATATTGCCTACTGGGGATAAAGAGAAAGTTCTTGTTGGGGGGCGGTGGGAGGGAGTACAAATTTTCTAAGAGCATACATAAAAAAAGCGTTTCAATCCAGTTACACTTATCAGTTAAAAATGGAGGCGATGGCGTCCTAGTATCTGTAGAAATTGCACATTTTTTGCAATGAAGCCTATTTTAGTGGTTCCAGCTGTCAGTTGGTACACAAGACTATAGTAATATGATTCTAAAGTTTATGTAAATGACTACGAATTCTGTTTCTGATTTAAAAATATTGATAAAACATTCCTTTCTCTCGTGCATTATTGATGAGTATTTTAAGCTATATATGTTGTAACATATACTTAAAAGTAAGTTGTCATGTGTTAAAAACGTTCCTTCCTTTCAGCCAAAAAAACTTCAAGAAGAGATTGTTGGTCGTGTAAGAAGAACAAAGAAAAACATATCTGTCATTGCGACGGTTAGTTCTATACTGCATAATTATATATGCTTTGAAACTAAACTAAAATATAAATCATTTCCACGGTGTAGCTCTGTCCAGTTTCAGAGCTGAAATTTAGGACATATCTTACACATTGAAATCACTATAACTGGCCTGACACTACCTCCAACCGGAAATTGAAGCCAAACTTGAAGGCCAGTCCCAGTCTCTTCGCGCATGCGAAAAGTGCGCAGTCATTCAATTATAATATAAATACGCGGGTCTTGATCCCTTGATCAAGATGAGCAGTTTATGTGAAGGTAGGGTTCCAGTTATATTCATTTCAATGATCTTACAGGATTGTGTTACTAACTAACTTTATTGTTACTGGATAGCTCTAACCGTTAGAGCTGAAGTTCCAATTATGCCATTATTTCAGAGAATTAGCATCGACAACAAGTACGAGATTTGCCATTTTTGCGCGAAACGCACATTGTATGCTTACCATCCCGTACTGAAGCGAGAAAGTCGTAGCTACCGCCTACGAAATCTCGTAGTCCCCACGACGACTTTTTAATTTAAAAAGCAAAATAACTTATTATTTGTTTTTATTTGTCTTATTATTTGATTATTTGTTTTTCTGCAAAAATAATATGTAGAAATATTTGCTATAGCCCCAGCGTTAACCTGGCTCATTTTTGGGAAAGTGGAAGCGTAGATTATACCGAAAATGTTGAGCTGCAAATAACTCGCCTTTGCAATTGTTGTTTGTTTACTATACTAAATTTTGACTTGACACGAGAGCGACTACGACTTTCTCGCGCCAAAACTAGATCAAATCTCGTACTCGCTGTTGAACTAGCCTCTCTATTTACATGTAGCCTTGAACTGTCTGTGCCAGTGTAGGAGTTCTAAAAGTATTAAGAGGCAATTTTTTTTAATGTCACGTATTTGCGATGAAAAGTGTTCAAAACCTAAATATTTTTGGCGTTCCTCTCAAAATTGCTTTGTTTTAGCTTTTTCTCTAGTTTATACAGTTAGCTACCTTTTTAAATGCATTTACCGGTTGAGAAACATAAAATAATAGTAAAAAGTTGACAATTAAAATACAATTATCAATGATGTTTTAAAAGTGACGCCATGATTTACAGCAATATAAGAGTATAAGCAAAACTTACTGAACTTCAGACATCATTTTCTCTTTCTCTTTGTGTTATTTATAATCTCTATGGTACCATCTATATAAAATCTCTTCATTTTAGCATTATTTTACAGATAAATCACTAAACATACTTTTTAAGTTTGTTTGCCGCTTGAGAAACGTATCAAAAATTTTAAAAATTGAATATAGTAATAACCAAGTGGAAAAGTTAGTTTTGAGCGCGTGTCACGTGACAACCTACAAAAAAATCTCCTCTTAACAAGTTTCCGTTGGTAGAGGGATGCAACTACCTGGAAAATAGAAGGAGAATTTCGACGTTTCGAGCGAAGACCATTCGTCTGCAGTTACTAGCGGAAGGCCTTCGGTCGTTACGAAAAGCCTTCGCTCGAAACGTCGAAATTCTCCTACCTTACATTTTTCAGGTATACAGTTAGTTGCATCCCTACCAACGAAAGCTTGTAATGTCTATCAGTTGCGGCACCAGGGGGGGGGGCAAGGAGGGGCAAATGCCCCCCAAATGAATTTTTGCCCCCTCCCGCCCCATTTTGCCCCCGCTCAAAAAAAATTATTAGTCACTGAGAGCGACTAAAGGCTACACAAGCGTTTTGTCGTTATCGGAAAATGTCTGGCTTATAAGTTGTCATTACTTCATTCGTGAATGCGCGTATACATGAAACTGTCTTTTACAGTTTCAATATTAGTTTGTAAATCTCTGAATGGTAAAACTTGCCAATACTCCAATAATACGTTTCAAAAAAGATAAAAAAGCTTTAGTTTTGCAAAGTTAAATTCTCAAACGTGTAAAGGCCCACACAGACCGGACGCAATTCGGCTACGCGACGCGAATTTTCAGTTTTCAAAAACAAATAAAACCGTCCACGGATGAAAATTTTACAAGATATGCAAACCAAAATAATAAAATTGCTAAGTGGTCCCGAACATTTGAAAAACAATGAAAAATATTAAAGTTAAATGTAATTGAAAACTGAAAATTCGCGTCGTGTTGCCAAATAGCGTCCGGTCTGTATGGGTCTTAGGCACGAAATTATTTGAATAAACCACATCGCATATATGGGGGGCGAATATTCTAGAGGAGGGGGGCGAATATTCTAGAGGAGGGGGGCGATATTCCTAGGATATTCGTCCCCCGTGGGCGGTACTCCTAGGAATTTCGCCCCCTTTTGAGAGGGGGCGAATCTCCTAGGGGGGGCAAAAGTCCTGTGACAACGGCATGGGCAAAAATCTATCTCCCCCAATATGAGTTTTCCCCTCAAATGCCCCCCCCCCCAATTCTAAGGCCTGGCGCCGCCACTGATGTCTATTTACATTGGCATTATGGATACCTAGGAAAAGGTAGGGTATACCTGCAAGGAGATCTAGAAACGGAATGTAGTGTTTACATTATGAAAATAAGTTAAGTACCTCGTTCTTCTCTTTCATATTTCAGAAACTGAACGATTTCATGGTAGAACCCGGAAACTGTGAAAATGAAATCACCGCAGTACAAGATCAGGATCAAAGTTTAGAAGCCCATAATAGAAGGTCACCTGATGTCGTTTTGCAAAGCACAACAGGCAATATGCGATAGCCTTTGTATACTTGAAGGGAAATGGCAATATATTTTTTACTTTCTCATTTGAAAGAACTTTTAAGACTATATATAATAATACTCTTTTACCTTTTTTCATATCTTGCTTACTTCTACAAATATTTTGGTTGAAAGGAATGAAATGTCCGCCATCTTCAAGTCTTGTAGATATGCACGTCACAACAGGGGTCGCGCAATATTTTTATCTAGAGAAACATTACAGTCATTTTGCATTCAAAACTATACTCTGTCTGCCCTTCAAAATATCAAGATCATTCAAAACCTTTAAAACATCTACCAATCAATATTTGGTCAGCAACGAATACTTTTATATGGTAATCCCTGTTGTGACGTCACCAAAACTACAGTTAATGAGATCAAAATTGTCTCCAAGATGGCGGACATCTCATTACTTCAAGTGAGATATTTCAAGAACTAAGCAAGATATGATAAATCGGTAAAAGAAGTTAATATATATGATTTTTATGTGTTGGTGTTATGTACTCAGGTGAATATGATGTTTGTGGTGTTACTCTGAGTGTATATCCACACCGGGCAGGCTTGAAAAACATGTCTGGTCACGGTGGGAATCGAACCTACGACCTTTGGATATGCACTCAGAGTAACATCACAAACATCAAGTTAATATACAGGGTGTCTAAAAAAAACGCTATGGAAATTCAACTGGCTGTCGTGCATCATAAACTTAGCTAAACAATTCAATTTTTACATAGGACGAAAGAGCTGATATTTAGCTAGCTTTTCTATGATACCTTTTTTAAATCGTAACGATGAGCAATGGCTACATACTCGTCAAATAAAAATTGCCGGTCGAAATCACATTCTTCCACCGTTGGGAATTGAAAATACATTAATTATGCAAAGTTTGTCAATCCCAAAGCAATGCGAGCCTGCTGCAAGGAACGTATTTGTTTCGTAAAACGTCTTGATTACGAATGTTCTCTGTTCAGGGATTAATTAAACCATGTTTAATGGAAGTTCTTATTGAGTTATTGTCTCACTAAGACGAAGATTGACGTTGAGCTCATTTTAGATAATTTAACATTCAATTTTAATTCCCTCTTCACTTGGGAATTGTCTATGATTCGTTTTCCATGCAATTCCCAACGGTGGAAGAATGTGATTTCGACCTGCACTTTTTATTTGGCGAGTATGTGGCCATTTCTCATCGTTACGATTTAAAAAGAGTATCATTGAAAAGCTATTAAATAACTGTTCTTTCGTCCTATGTAAAAATTGAATTGTTTAGCCACTTTTATGATGCACGACAGCCTGTTGAATTTCCATAGGCATTGAGACACCCTGTATAGTTTCAAAAGTTCTTTCAAATGAGAAAATAAGAATTTATTTTGCCATTACTGTTTATATTCAGCCTTGCAAGTGACGTCGCAACTTATCATTCGGCAAAAAATATTTGACTTCCGCCATTTTGAGTGGCAAATATTTAGAGCTAAATAATGACATACACAGCGTCCATTAGCCGTCAAAATTTTACAAGTTCACTTCGGTAGAGCTCCATTTTATCACTTTTATGCAATGTGCATAAATTAATACGAATTCAGAAAAGCAATTTTGTGCCAAAGACATTTCCTTTGCTGCATGTCCGTAATTTTTGCTATACCCAAAATTGCGTGATGACGTAATATACCCGCGTGACTGCAGGATCTGAATACATGGTTATGTGCATTTCTTTAGTTCCATTCAGTTGACTCGATAATCAGTCGGCGAATGTATTAATAGGACAGTTTTGGCAGGGTTTATATCTTTCATAACTTCATGAAGATTGTTAAACCTTCAAAATGTTTTGAACTGTTCCTGAAAAGAGGGGGGGGGCTGAAAAGACTGTACTGTTTATTGCACTTGGTTTTCTTGTGAGTTGTTTCCTCATGTTTCATGTACAATAATAGGTTAAGGATAGGTTTGTAATTGGGCTCAAGGTGGAAGAGAAAAATATCTGTACGCAAAACATGAGGATATAACCTTTATGTGCTCTGCCATGCTAAACACGGAAACGAAGCCATTGGGGGAAAGTCTATTACTAAATACTTTGCGGCCAAGACTCAATCATATTACAAACATATATCTGTACATATTTTAAATATGTTTCAGATACATTGGCTGAGTATAAGGCTCATGTTATCAATCTAAGACTTCCGGTATCTCACATCGTTTATCAGAATGTGGAAACTGATCATCCATCAAAACGCATGACAGAAGATTATTATATGTAGTTTGCCATGCAATGCTGCACCCAGGCGTATTATCAAACCAACTGTCTCTTCCTTGCTTAAATTCATCCCCACTCTGTTCACCCAAATAATTAGTCTTCTCTTGCCATTAAAAGTTGTTCTGTTGAATATTTTTCATTTGTCATAGGATCATTTACGACGTCCAGTATCTCGCCATCCGGCTCCACGGTGAAAAGAGATCTGGCTGAAAGAATTCAACGTAGAAATCATCACAAACAAAATAATTACAAATTTAAAGCAATTTCTGATGTATAACACAGTTGTATATGCTGCTGCAGTAATTCGGGAAAAGTATACCGGAAGTACTAAGACAAATGTAAAATTAAAGCGCATAGATGCCTTGAAACGAAACTGTATAATATTAGGCTATAGTAATAATGGGGAAAATATAGTACACACAATATAGCTAAATGATATAATTACCATTACCAATCTGTGTGGTGTGCACAGTGACTGCAAAAAAATAAATCCCATGCAGTGGCCAGTTGTACGAAGGCCGGTAAACGCCTAACCTGCGATCAGGCTCTATTTTACAAATAATAGCCTGACACAATCCTTAATCCGATCGCTTTCCACCATAGATATCTTATATATACTAGATAGCGCATCTCTTTTAGTAAAATTGAAGCCAAGAATATTCCAGCGGTTACCCCTATTTGAATAGATGGCGGCCATGTTGGTCGTTCCCGCTTGCTAATAAACGCTTAAAAACAACAATAACTTTCATCATTTGAATAGTTTAAAAACGTATTTGGAATAGGGTTAACTTCATGTTTAAGTTCCGTTTTTAAAAAATAGAAAATATACGAATCTTCTCATTTCATGGGAACGACCTGAGACTGCAATCACGGCTTCATTTTTTGAATTGCAGAATAATTAGATGCACTATCTAGTGTATATAAGATATCTATGCTTTCCACCCACAGTAGAGTTTATATTTAGTATCCAATCAAAATGTCGCAGGAGAAATTTGAATTTCACACCACGACAACAACAATCTAATTATAGTTGTGATCACTATAAATATATCAACGACAATATATAATGTAATTAGCACCAACCAATCAAATGACAGATTAAAAAATCTTTTGTCTCATAAACCAATCAGATTTACAACCGCTCAGATTTAAACCCCCTTTAGGGGTTAGGTTTTAGGTTTTAGGGGTTAGGGGTTAGAGGTTAGGGGTTAGGGGTTAGAGGTTAGGGTCGGGTTGGGGGTTGGGATTAGGATGCTCAGGTATATACCTAGCATGGGTACTACCCGCATTCTAAAATTTAGAATACCGGCTACGTACCCATTTAGAAATAGCGAAACGGCTGAAAAACATGGACTTTTGTTAAGATTTGTATCAGGCCTATTTATTTATTTATATGCCTGATCGCAGGTTAGTAAACGCCATCCAGTGGCTACTATTCATCGGATAGTGATTTTTTCAACCTTTCTGAAAATGGCCGAAAATTTGTGAAACCATGGGTATGGACCTCGCAATTAATAAAAAGAAACTTTAATTTATAAATACTCAAGATTAATCTGGGCCATACCAATCAGCAATAAGAGTATATGGGCATCTCGCTCGATAGAATTAACAGTTAATATTAAAGGTTTCTGTATCTGAAAATTTCAAGTGGAATATATTATTAATATTCAAATTTGTATATAATCTCTACATATAATCTTCCTCTCAATATTTCCAAAATTAAACTCCTAAACTACACCACTCAACAGCCAGTAAAAATCACTAACTGGTGGCGATAGGCTTTCCGGCCTTCCTACAACTGGTCCCAGAACTAAATACATATATATATATATATATATATATATATATATATATATATATATATATATATATATATATATATATATATATATATATATATATATATATATATATAAATGCCAAAGAGTGCTCGATATCATATAGATAGAGCAGAAATAGTCGTTTTACCTCAAAAGGTTTGCTTTTGATGTAAAACGACACTACCTGCTCCATAGCAACTTGGTAAGAATTCGAGCGCTTTCATTGGTCGAGAGCCATGATCTATTAGAGAACAGAGGCACGGAATTACGTCACACAAAACCTTATCCAATAGCATTCCCTTATTTGTGTAGATCATTTTCCTCTTCCACCTTGAGCCCAAACGGTTCAAATTTCCAAATGTTTGGGTGGATAAAAAGTAAGCTATTACCTGTTTAATTCGTGGGTTTTCTTTTTATTATATAAAACAAATAGATAAGAATTTGTCGTTGTCTGCTCAGTTATAGATACACAGAATGACATCATACATAATGTGAGAAGAACAAAAAAGTGCCCCACTCGCCTCAGCGGCTCGTGGGCCACTTTTATTTTAGTTCTTCTCACATTATCTACTGTTTAATAAACGAGCAAGAGTGTTTTATTAGGTTTAAAGACAAGAGCGCGCATGCAGCGCGAGTGGCTTTAGACCTAATAAAACACGACCTTGCGAGTTTATTAAACGGCTTCAAGCACGACTACAAATTCAATAGATATACGGCCTTATTAGTATTCTTTATATAAAGAATACTAATGAGGACACGACTACAATAGACACTGCCTTATTGGTATTCTTTATATAAAGAATAGTAATTAGGAGTGTTTTATCAGGTTTAAAGCCACTGCACGTGACGTATTATGGTTGACATGATTTGCCAATAAGCTTATGAATTATTAATGAGTGTTTGAAGACGTTATATTGCATGTGTATCTATAACTGAACAGACAACGGGAAAATCTTAATTATCTATTTGTTAAATATATATATATGTATGCAAAAAATAGCAGTTTGTTTAACAAAATTACAACATAGTAAAGTTACATAGGTACAACGGACGCATTTGTCGAATTTTCCAAACAGGAAAGAGAGGCCTGTCGGTACATTCTAAAAACGTTGCCGCTTCTGTCATCTGGCATCTGTCATCTGACGTAAGGTGTTTTGGTTAAAGTTAAAATTTCTTGCTTAATTAAACTATTAAAATAACGCTATAAAGAAAATTTTGCTTTAAGCAAACGCTCTTCGTCAGTATGCTAGATAAATACAGAAGTTTGAAGCAGCCTCGAAGTCTAAGTGCAATTGCTTCAAGTGCTGTGGTGCTTGTTTCGAAACTACTGTACATTATCATTGTAAGCATGTTTGATAGATTGAACAATTTCCAGGACTTACAAAGTTTCTCTATTGAGTAGGATAAATATCATCCAACATTAGGTTTCTTATAACTTTCTAGATTAATTTAAGTAATTACAATTACTCGCTCGGTTCCCTAGTTAAAGGGAGCCCTCCCCCCCCCCGTCCAAATTAAAAATGCTGTAATGTGAGATATTCACAGTAAAATATAACTGACCATGAATGCCGTTTATTGCTTTAAATTTCAATATTTTCTCCCCCCCTTCACACTTTTGAATCCCTATCGGGTCCACCACTGATCCCAAAAATCTCCGACGATGAAAGGGACCCCAGAGATGCATTTTGTCCTGTGTCCCCAAATGTTTCTGGGTGGCAATGCTCATGCAAAATTTTATTGATGAAATTGAGGTTTTCCATCCCCTGTTCCTAACTAATTTTTTGTGATATTCTTTATTTTCTATTTTTCTAACAAATCGTATTCCGTGTACTCCAATTTTTCGACAAATGTTCAATATTCTTTAATTAACTCCTGGCCAATGTACACAATCTATAGGAGCACTAGTGATGTACAAATTACAAGTAATATTTTTTTTAAACGCAATACTGCAGTATATGCATATATATATATATAAGCGCCCTGTGTTATCATAATCATGATGACATGCGGGGTTTCCTTGGCAGCCATGCCGGAAGAATAGTTTAATACTCTTGCTTTCAGATTTTTGTAAAAAATAGTTTAAGTTTTATCCTATACATAATTAACATGGCTTTTTATGTCAAGCAGAAGATTAATGATTCAATTATTAGCAAAAAATTGTGAAATCTGCAGTCTCTGCATGAGATCAAGCTAAATAAAGAATGTGCTTGCTTGCGTAGCGTTGAAATTGCTCAGCATGAGCTCCACCTTTGAATTTACTATATGAGTAAATTGTGAAACACGTGCGAATTTATCAATATGATAAATTTGCGGCACCTAACCCATAACACTATCCCCTAACCCAAACCCTAACCCCCTATCCTAACCCCCCACCCTAACCCCTAACCCCTAACCCTAGTCTAACTTTTTTGAAAATCTAACTTTTTTTGACTTTGAAGATCTGAGGCGAGTGTATACGACTTGTTAACATCCAACTTAGCTTATACTGCAAATTTGTCACACGTTAGTTGAGTTCGATGTCGCTTGTGCACATTTTAAAACCATATACGGATTTTTGCATGAATATTTATATAATGCAATATTTAATAGACTAAAGTTAGTTCTAACTGTGTTTATGCATACCCATGATTAAAGCGATGAACTTGAACTTATATTAAAAAATGAAAAGGTCCTGCTCAAACGAAGTAGACGCTAATTAAACATGCAAAGGTTGTCTTGCGAATACAGTACATGACCCGCTTTGTCGGAACGAGATGAGAGACGGAATAATTTTAATGTATTGAAATAGTCACGGTTCATGATTCAGCAAACTGCATTATTTTCCAAGTGATAGATTATAATATAATTGTAAACGAAAGGTTGTTTCAGTATCAATAATAATCGTCTTGAACTACGAGATCGTCTCGACAACATTTGAGTTCCCTTAACTGGAGTTTGAACTTTCGCCTAAGCCTGGTGACATATTTCAATACGTCAAAATAAACCCGCCTTTCATCCCGCTCGGCAAATAGGGATCATGCAAACTGCCCCTAAGTAATTGTAAGTGACCTAACATGACTTATGAGTCTCGTAATTCCTGACTCCTGACCACATGTGAAATCTGATATGCATAACCACACACCAGATAATGTACACAACAATATTTAGCAGGTACAAACTTCATGATTGCTACGAAGAAATGAATTGAAAATAGCTTTAAGGTCTAGGCATGCATAAAAGCTTAATCCCACAGTCATAAAACTTAAATATCGGTCAACCTACAAAACCCGTAAAATGTATCGTTCCTAGAATCGGAAGGAGGAAGCGAAATTTGTCCTTCAGCTTAAAGATTTATAATTTTCACTCAGCAAGACACAATTTAAAACTGCTGGGCTACAATATTTCATTGCAATGTCAAAATGACAAATATTGTATGCACCGATGTCCCATAATTAGTAATTGATGTTCCAGGTTATTCGGTAGTGTGTATATTTATAATAAATCATTTGAAACCAGACAGTGTACACAAACCAATATGCACTACAAGTGTTTGAGTAAATCAAACGCTATGAGCAAAATCTTCGAGGCTACCGCATTCCAATACAAAAGTCATGTTACTCATGTTACTCTAGAATTTGCTGCGCCGTCTTCGGTTGCGCTGTGAGTTCATTTTCCCTGGGTTTCATTTGAACTTTCTTCAGTAGCACTCAAGATTAGCTGGCATGATAAGAAAACGATGACGTCGAAAGAAACTCAAATGTCGCGAACTGACCGCTCGCAGTTATTCTGCAATATACTGTACAGTAATTTATCGGGAAACCAAACAGTATTAAACGGATATCCAATTTCATGACGCATGAACCGTTCGGTTCCACCATGAAATCGGTGTCTTTCAGTATAATTTAATATCGGTTAATATACCACCGCAGCACTTTTATGACATGGTTTCCGTTGCAACTTGCTTGGACAAAAGTTCCAATAGTTCCAATTTTCGCCTAGTTAAATTTCCAAAATTCTTGTCAATTGGGGGATGGGGGAGGCGAAGTGGAAAAGTTTTCGAATGGCTTAATATTTTTGCAACATGACATATTTCTTGCTTTTTCGACTATTATCTTACATATTTGTTGATTTTTAAATTTATTTCCCTTCCGGCGCCAGCTACCTCCTGACCCCCGTCTCGCGGTACGCTGATGGATTGTTTTCAATAGCAATGTACTAGGTTGCCGCAGCAGCACTGAGTTTCAGCAAGCTACTGTAGCTAGATCTGTAAGCTATTACGTAAGTGACAAATTACGTTGACTATATTTATCATCCAGCCTGCTTGAAGCAAGATTAAATTTCCTTCAAGCTTGATAAACTTCTTGTTGAATGCATTAGTGAAGTAACAAAATCAGAGTTTTGTAATTTATATATACGTTTAAAACAACCGCAAGAGAACTTGAAGAATAATTATTATTGGAAATCAGAGATTTAAAACTTGCTTGCCAAGTCATAGATGTTGTGCATAGATCATACACGGAAGTGAAGTGGACTATTTGGAGTGCTTGCATGCCGCGTCATGAGGAAGCTTGGTAGCTAAATGGTTCACTGGTTCACTAAAGCGCTCTAAGATCAATTGAAAACTGTGATATGAAACGAACTTGAATTTTAATGAGATTTTGATCAAGCTGATTTACGATTATGTAATTAGATTAGAAAGTGGTGCCAAAAGTATTTAAAGGCTGCACAGCCCATGTTTGATCATACATCAGTTATTTCGTGCTAAGTTGAATAGCGAAGATACACAGACGAAGTTCAAGATTTTTCTGTTCTCCCAAACCTGATTTGTCAAGACATGAAGATGATTTTTCCTGCTACAATTTTAATAAGCTCCATGTTGGTGCCTTTGGTCTTTTCTGGGACAATGTAAGTAAAAATATTTTGCGCTGTTGTGGTTTATGTTTCAGTATTTTAACTACCTGAAAAATATTAAGGTTTGTTGCGAAGCAGTTAGTAGCTACGTATATACCTGACGAAGAGCTTTCGGAGGCGAAACGACGAAGAATTAGTGCATGCCAGTATCGTAAATACTGTATTGAATCCATAGTTAGAAAAAAGTTAATATCAGTTTTGCCTATTCAAATGATTTGGTAACGTAAATATTAACAATTTGTATACAGAAATTTTAAAAGGTATCTCACGGCAGAGGCCGCGGAAGCAGGTACTGTGAGACATCGGCCGCGGAACTGGGGGCAGGTGACCCCCACACACACACACACACATTTTTTGGGCAAGGAAAGATTGTGCCATTGTAGTGAAATAAAAGTGCCCTTTTTTCCAGCAATTAAAAAGAAATTATAAAAGCCCCCTTAAGCCTTTGTTATCAAAAACGACCGGAGACTTTGAATGAAATTGCATTAATTAGTAAAAAAGTGTTCTCTTTAAATTTGTGGTTAGTGTGTTGATGTTCAGTTTAGGACGCAGAGCTATTAGAGTATACGTATAACATCCCAGGCTGTATATTGCATGCGTACAAACCTCTATCTAGACCTTCTAAGGACACGTCGGTTAACATATTTAGAATGTTTGCTGACTCAACTAGTGCCCTTTCTGCTGAGTGCCCCCTCACTTTCGAAGTGCTCTGACCTTAATATAAACGTTATGTGCCAGCGTAGGTATAGTCAGACATTCACACCAAACAACTACGGATTGAGGGGGGAGGGGGATTCCGACAAAGGGCTTTACGTTCGATACCGAGGGGTAAATTACTCTGAGAATCTTCGTACACTTCATCAAAAATCCAAAAAAATCTTTGGAAAAATCCTAAAATCTTACTAAATCCCAGAATCCCAAAATCCCAAGAAACCTCTAAAAATTGCATAAAATACTTGGAAAAAGCCCAATAAAATCCTCAAAATTATTGCAATATTGCGGAAATCCCATCAAATTTAAATATTTAAATCGTGAGTTGATTTACTTCATTTTAAAAATAATTCGACGGATTAAAAAATTTCGGAAAAGTTCGGCGAAAACAAAGAAGGGAAAATATTTCGAAAAAATCAGCTGAAAAAAATTATCCCAAAATCCCTTAAATTTGGGGAAAAACCCAGAATCCCGAGAAAATTTGCCGGGATTTTCTAATCCCAAAAATCTTCGGAGTAATTTACCCCTCGTTCGATAGGTCGAAGTTTTACGTATATTTTTCAGATAGTCAAATCTCTCTCAATCCTCAGCTGTCTTGAGCTTAATATGTTCGCTTGAATTCAATATATTATGCAATTCATGCACTACTTGAACGGTCGCTTGAATTTTTTTCGCCGAGAATTTAATAAATGAACTCTTCACAGACTTCACAATCAATTGCATTTCAATAGTTTTATTACGTAAATAACAATATGGTATAAAATAGTTGAAGCCAATATTATCTCATTAGTGCTTTGGGTCCTCCTATATCTATGTTTGGGTCCTTCTACATTCAAAATGTCAGGAGTTTGTGCATCTCACTTGGTAGAACTAATTGCAGAAGGGTTTTGTATAGATGGAACTATGGAGGGAAATTGGAGCAACTACAGGCTCACTGGCAAGCATGCAGGAATCAAACGTGTGGCCCGGCGATTCCAGTGCAGCGCTCTAACCAACCTGAGCTACATGTAGAGTCCAGTTGTCGAATTCTGGCCCGTACAAAACCCTTATACATTTATTCTAAAGGCCCTGTCACATGCACTATTGCGTATGAAAGAAACGTATGAGAAGCGTATGAAAATTAATGAAATAATTTTCAGACGCACAAAAATCCTTTGAAATGCCAGCGTATGAGTACCGTATATCTGGCGTACCTCTGGCGTATTCAGCGTGTGCCTAGAGTATGTATGTATGTATGTATGTAAACTTTATTTAAAGACGTTAGCCTCGTCAACAATTTGTTGATTTTCACGAGGGACGTCTGTTACTATTAAAAATTACAAATATGATATAGAAAAGAATAAAGAATTATATACAACTATTTACAATACAAGAATTAAGTTCCAAACGGTGTGACCCATATTTCTGAAGCATGCATATACAGTATATTAGAAGATGTTAGCGTGAAACTTTCAGGCAGTTTTTAAAAGAATAAATTGATTGCGCTAGCTTCGCATCAGAAGGAAGACTATTCCACAATTTAGCTCCGCTATACTTAAAGCTTTTTTTTAGAAATTCTCGTTTTGGCTTAGCAAGGGTAAGGTCAGTATAAGTATTGTGAAGATTATAACTGGTTTGAACAAGGTCCCTTCTTGTTAGAGCATCCTTCAAGTTCGGCCCAGCGCAATAATTCAGGACTTTATACATTAATGTGGATTTAGTTGTACGTTGTCTTATCTCTAAATTTTCCCAAGCAAGGGATCGAAGAACATCAGCAGATCTTATTTCATAGCTGGCGCCGGTTATAATTCTCGCTGCACGGTTTTGGAATTATCGTATAAGGCATACGTCCGATACGCACAAAATTTTTGAACATGCTTAAAAAAAATGTTCTGGCTCGCCGTATGCCAGCGTATGTCACCGCGTATGCGACCGTGCTTGAAACGTATACAACCTACGCCTAACGTACTCCTAGCGTATGTCAGCGTACACCGGCGTATGAGTGATATTTTTCATACGCTGGCATACGCTAGTATGATACGCAATAGTGTGACAGGGCCTTAACATAAACCTCAACCAGTGAATTATAGCCTGCATGCGGACAGTCTATAATTGTTAGCAGGCTATGAATTATTGATTCCGTTAAAAATATACGGGGCGTTGGCCATTACTATACTGCAGACAGCAGCACCAATGGCACTTTTTACGCAAATTGTTAATAATTATCATGACTGGCGTTGTTATGCATGGTTGGAATTTGTCTGTTAATGACGTGGTATTAGTGGGCTGAAAACCTCAATGGCCCACCAAGAATTATTTCTACATGCATGCACTATAGCATTTTCACTGAACAAATATATAAAAGGCAGTGGCGTAGCCAGAACGATAATTGGGGGGGGGGCATATTCATATATTCGTGTTCACATACCATAAAAACAATTGATTTCGAAAGAAATTTATAAAGCAGAACAAGAACATATGAATATACCCCCCCCCCCAATTATCGTTCTGGCTACGCCACTATTTAAAAGCATTAATTGTTTATTTGCCCATAATACTACGCGAGAAAATGCACCAATTACATCAAAGTACATTTAAGCGAACGGAACACTAGTCAATTAAATTGTTCTCGATCGAAGTGGATCCGTTTTAAATTAGCATATAAAACGGCTCCACAACCATTTAATTGACTAGTGTTTCGTTTGATCATTTAGATCATTTTAACATATTTACAGTCAAACCGGATGTTCTCTTGCGGGCATTGTGTCCCACAATATTGCAATTTTGATAGGCAGTTTGCTCTGAGCAAATTGCAACCGACGCGAACAAATTGCAAGTTGGAAATTCACAAAAGATCTGTAAACAAAGCCTCTAATTGGATTATAAGAAAGAGGGAAGCCAATCAAATAGTCTGAGCAACTGGATTGGTGCTTCATCCTTTGTTATAGTCCAATCAGAGGCTTTGTTTGCAAATTGCTCAGAGCAATCTGCCTATCAAAATTGCAATATTGTGGGACAATATTGCAATGTTGCTCGCAAGAGAACATCCGGTTTGACTGTAAGAAATGCCTCGCCGAATTAAGAGTTTGAAACAATGCAAAAGTTCGAGTTCTAATACGATGGATCAACGTGGTGACCAGTAGTATGTCCATGCAGTAATAGTATATTGATTAATGTTACGTTCTACTATCTATAATCGCATATATATTAATATGCCAATGATGCATCTCGTGTGCTTCTGCCTTACCCCATTTGTTCATTCAGTGTTTTATTTTTGTTTGTATTACAGAAATGCACCAAAAAAGAATTGTCGCTGCCGTAGAAGCGATGCGTTCTATACCAATGGACTATGCTTACGATCGTTACCATGCAAGAAGAATCGTGAGTATACAAACTGTATATATTATGTTTTCAAATCCGAAAATGAAGGCTGGTGTTAGTAATTGGAACGGCTTCAAATCTCTTCCAAACACAATATGAGGTTTTGAAATGATATTTTACATTAAGTAGTTTAATCGAATTTTCTTGAGTTAACAAAACAAAGCAATATATGATCGGCTAATATTATTGACATAAGATGTAATTAATGAACAGCGAGTGCGAGTGTTTCACCAGGATATCCAAACACGATAAAACAATGTATGAAAACACGAGCGCGAACCGCCAGTGTTTTCATACATTGTTTTCGAGTGTTTGGATATCCCGGTGAGACACGAGCTCGAGTTGTTTATATGGCTTCTCAAATGAATCGAGACGTAACAGAATGTTTTCGTTTGCTGATTTGAATAGAATTCTTAACCAAGCATAACGTAATTAGGAATTCTATTCAACTGAGTAATTTTGCATCAGGCGTAATTAAGATATTTGATGGAAACACTAGTGACTTTCATCAAGTTTCACCGGGTTATCCAAATGGCATCTTTTCATGAATAGGTGATTATCATTGGCCGAATTGCTCATGAATTATTAATGAATTTGGGAAATATAGTTAAAATGCATCTATATAACCTCAATTCTTTTTATCATCTCATTCGCAAGAACTTTTGAAATTATATGGCCCACTTTGTTTTAGTTCGTTGGATACACAAATGTCCGGAATTTGGAGGAAAAGCTTGTATACCTTATTCATTATCGAGTATAATTCATTAAAATGAAGACGCTTAGAGTTGTTGGAGGATGGTATACATATGTAATATACGATTAGCCTTTTTTACCCCATAGTATTTAACTGTAACTTACATAAGTCATTATTAAAGTGTGATGTAAATTGCGGGCATTTGCAATATCTCAGAAACAAAATGAAGAAACGAAAATCTTCAAAATAAGAAAATCTTCGATATAACTTGTGATTCGATTAATCTATGAGATAATAAAAGGAATTGAGGTTAGGTGCACTTTAACAAAAAATACCGGCATTTCTTCTAATTCGAACAGAGATACTTCCAAGTATGCTGAGAGACCGTCAACTTGGAAACAAGATTGTGGTGTGCAATCAAAAAGTGTATCGTGCCTATCCCGTGATGACAAAACGTTCCAGACGTTGCCCTGTTGCTGGTACTTTGTATAATCTGAAGTTTAATGTTTGTGTCAGAATGTTGAAATGCTCTGAAAAAGGTGAGAGTTCAATATGTGATACAGGACTATAGGTTTGAGGTGCCTCATGTACTTTTCAAAAAGTCGAAATTAAAGTTAATAGAATTAGGACTGTTTTCGGCTATGGTCTAGGCTAGGTGTACCTTGGTTCAGGTGGGAAGTTCAGAATATTGATAATTAGCCTTTCTCGCGGCCGATTTTTCCGCCATATTTTGGGGGTACTGCCACTTCCACATTTGAGAGTCTCCGTACCACGAAATGCAACTTTTTAGTATTATTTTTAGTACGATAATACATTTGCAGTTGCAACTTTTGAAAGTCACTTTTCACGTTGTTTAAATTGTCTAAAATCTTTCACGAGGGCAGATAGCGCCCCCAAAATGGCGGATTTTACCCTTCGTGAAAAAGACTAATTGATAATCATAGAAGAACCAATGTCAAAACGATTTGATATGAAAAAGTCTGTACAAAAGAATGATGCTCGTCAGGAAAGCTCACTGCCTCACTCAAACACTCGTAAAACCACATGCTATACGTAGCAGCCAAATCTGAACCTCATCAAAGTTAGTTTAGATTGCACCAGTATAGCTGAAGAAAGATGGAACCTTCAGGAACAATGGGGTGGGGCTCTATCTTGGGACATTTGAGACCTGAGATGTCTTTAACTACACTATCCACACGATACCACTAGTCATATACGATTCTTATCCTGTCGTATGTACTCGAATAAATGTAAATTGTCACGAATAAATGTAAATAGTGCAGTGGCGCTGTGGCGTCAACATTCGTTTTCATACGCCAGAATGACAATCGTATGTGACTAGTGGTACCGTGTAAATGGACTTAATATGAGCTTCAGTTAGTTTATAAGAAGATCATTTTTGTTGCTGCTGTAATTGGAATGGTTGCATATCAGATAAAGAAACTATATACTTGAGTTGAGAGATGACCTTTCATAATTTGATTAAAAAATCGAAATTCGGCACGAGTTCTTTTGAGAAACAGTTGAATATTATTTCACAATCACTTTCTGCAAGAATGTCGAGTGTATCTAAAAGTCGAGGGTCGAGAGTCGAAACAAGATTGTGGTGTGCAATCAAAAAGTGTATCGTGCCTATCCCGTGATGGCAAAACGTTCCAGACGTTGCCCTGTTGCTGGTACTTTGTATAATCTGAAGTTTAATGTTTGTGTCAGAATGTTGAAATGCTCTGAAAAAGGTGAGAGTTCAATATGTGATACAGGACTATAGGTTTGAGGTGCCTCATGTACTTTTCAAAAAGTCGAAATTAAAGTTAATAGAATTAGGACTGTTTTCGACCCATCCCTGAGTGTTTGCATTTAATTAAAATAAGCTGTTAATCATTGTGATTGGTTAAAGTATTCGCAGCCAGCTAAGAGGTGTTTATAGACCCCTAGCCCCTCCCCCTTGTTCCGCCTATGCAGCATTGAAATTTTGTTTCATGTAAAATTGAGTAAAAATGAGGCAGGGAAATTCCTGTATTTTCTGTTTAATAATTTTCATCCTTTTTCTATCCATAGGCATGATAGCATTACATGAGTAATTGTAGCCTTACTTTATATCATGTATTTTGTCTTTTGTTTAGTATTTGGAGTTCCGAATGGTTCCGTCTCAAGAAGATATTATGTTTTAAATGATAAAATTTATCAGTCGTATCCTTCACACTGTCAGTAAGATTATCTTAATGTCAAGGTCAAAATAAGAAGAACTGTAGTATGCATTCATTACGTACATTAATGCTTTGTTAGATTGTTGTATGTGTTTACAATAAAGTTGTTTGCATAATTTGTTTGTATGTAATGTTGAATGTTAATCGTGACAGTACAGCTGATTGTAAACTAATATAATTGCCCTTTCGAAGTCACTTGAACCACAGCAGGCTACGACGCTATGCTTACAGAGCTTTTGTGTGCGCTCTCCTTAATCCAACTTTTAGGGAGAACGCGGGTAAAGGCTAGCTAGATGCGGGCATAAGCAGAGCCTAGGCTTCTGTGTTTAAACTCAAAATCGCAAAACCTGGAGCTGTAGCTCGAAAACCTGCACGTGTATATTCAAAATGCGGGCAATGAAGTTGTCTCAAGCAGGATTTGAAATCGCATCCTCGGGTTTCTAGACCTGCACCATTCTACCAATTGAGTAGTTTCGATTCAACGGGGATTGGAAGCGGGTTTTATTCAATACAAGTGCACGAAATATTTTGACGACTTTCTTGCCATGGAGGACGCACAGTGTTCCAATTCTATTTCAGAACCATCTCAGAGATATGAAAAACAGTTTCATAATTATTTTATTCTGACACTGCTAAAAACAACGAAAATAAAATCCAAGGAAAATGGGTAACTTCTTACATAAGGTCCAAAACGTACGAATTTTGCATTGTAACTATGACAAGACAGATAATAGGCGATTAAGATGTACAACTAGCAGTGTACTAGGATTATCTGTCCAATCAAAAGCACTGAAAAGAAGGTACCCATCACTCTTTGCGCGCTTAGAGTTTAAGGTTTGAGATTTTCGAAGAACAACCTTTTTTGAACAAGACTCTCGACGGAGCGTTAAGTCGCTGGGCGATGGAAATACCCAACTTTAAAGCTGTATGTTACGGACGTTAAAGTTAATTAAGGTGATTTGGGTGAAAGGAAAATAAGATCGTGTGAGTAACCTAACGATGTTAACAGACAACTTTAGCCACGAATATACTGTTTGTTGTTGCCCCCAATCACAACCCTGTCCTATAACCAGTGAGCTCCATATATACTTGGAGAAAGAACTCGAGTTCAAAAAGTGAAGCCAGCTTCGTGTTAACCGTGCAGACGAAAAACAATAGAAAGGGACTGGAACTGACGTTCAATATCTCCTTCAATTTCCGCCACCTTCTTGTCAAAGAGTGTGCGATAATTTCGTATTTTGACATCGATTTCTAAAGAATAACACTATGGTTTTATGAACTGATAACTTGGTTATCGATACGGTCCGTTAGAACAAACTGGAATTAGCTGGGAAAATGGTATGAAAGCTTTTTACGACCTTCAGAGCTACAGTATTATCGAAGGTCAGTGGCCGCCATCTTGGCTTCACTTTTCTCACAGGCCGAGTGACTAAAGTTCTTGCTCCAGATATAGATGGAGCTCAATAACCCCAACAGACTCGTGACCGTAAGTAACATAATGATTTAAGGCCGTTTTCTACTAGGCGGAATTTTTCGCGCGGAGTGGAATTTTTCTTTGTCTTGTGATTTCTCGGGTGCAACTAATTAAAAAATGCAAAGAGAAATTCCGCTCCGCGCGGAAATTTCCTTCTAGTGGAAAACGTCCTTTAACCTGAAAATGCAGTTCAAAATCCCCGAGACAACGAATTTTTCCCCGTTCTTTGCAGTGTCAGAATCTACATGAAATTAATTAAACAAACTCGTTTTGGATGGGGGAGCTATTTTGTATTTAGATGCTCTTACGTTCTGGTGAAAATTTGTTTCACCAAACCACCCACAAAAACTGTTCAAACATATGTAACTGGAAATCATGAATATTCAATTTCTGGCATTTTTTGGAGCATCGATCACGAGGAAAACGAGTAAATGAGAAGACTGTTTTAATGTTATATTTTTGGGTTTCAAAACACATTTGTGTTTTAAAAGAACTGCACAAATGGGTCTAGATGGTCTAATGGGTCTTTTGTGTAGAACTAAACTGACATATCCTGGCGCAAAAACCATAATTATACTGTCTTGTTGTTGCAAGGCTGACAACATGTTGGTTAAAGAAGCATTTTTTAATTAAATCACTGCATTACAACTTACATTGTTAAATTGTGCACGATAACGATTAAATATAGTAAACAAATATAGCAACGTTAATAAATTGAAATTCTGTTATAATTAAATGTTCATAGAGCATTTAATTTGTGCAATTCATATAAGCGTACGGGGCGGGGGAAATTGCCCTCCTCTAACGAGACAGGGGGGCAGGCCGATTGCCCCCGCCCCCAAAACTAAAGAAAGCAAATGAAATAAAAATCAAGAAAATCGACAAATTTTTGACAAATGTATCATAAAATATGTTAAATTCAGGGTATTTCATCACAATTCTCCATACAAATTTGGGCAAAAATTAGAATGAGCCTCCGGATAGGATCGGTACGCTTATAGTGCCATGACACGTTGGTCAAATTTAGTAAAATTTCTCCCACTCGTGCGGGCTCGTATTGTCAGCGGACATCTTACGGAAAGTGGGAAGTTTGTGCAAAATGCAAAAGTTTCAATTTTTCACAACAAATCCGATGAAAATACGAGTCTGTGGTACTGGGATAAAATTTGCTGAATATGACCAGCATGTGAAACTATATGAACGAATTATAAAATGCAGTTTTAAAAATACAATACAATACAATAAACTTTATTTAACGGGGGCAACACCAATTACAGTAACATATTCTCCCTAATGGTTAATTACAAAAATTATTGTTTACATGATTGCCTCTATATATGTCTTGTTGCCAATTATTCCAATAACTTTAATTAAGCATGCGCAGTTAATTTTAATGAACACACAAAGATAACTGTTTCCATTTCTATTAACAATAAAAAGAAATTAAATAATTATTACTTGCATTTCTGTAAACAATAAAAAGAAATTAAATAATTATTACTTGCATTTCTACACATTTCTAATGTCTAAACTTAATTTAATAAGCCGTTCCTAAAACATTGCTATTGGTTAGTTGGCAAAAACACAATTGTGTATTGTGTATCGTGAATGCGCATGAATTGTATACTGTGACGGTGAATGACCATCCAGATTTATGAATAAACGTTGACTAACACGGATAATGAGTTATATTGTTATTCTAATGAGTTTCACAGCCATCTTCCCTTCGATACGCTATGGTCTAGGCTAGGTGTACGTTGGTTCAGGTTGGAAGTTCAGAATATTGATAATTAGCCTTTCTCGCGGCCGATTTTTCCGCCATATTTTGGGGGTACTGCCACTTCCACATTTGAGAGTCTCCGTACCACGAAATGCAACTTTTTAGTATTATTTTTAGTACGATAATACATTTGCAGTTGCAACTTTTGAAAGTCGCTTTTCACGTTGTTTAAATTGTCTAAAATCTTTCACGAGGGCAGATAGCGCCCCCAAAATGGCGGATTTTACCCTTCGTGAAAAAGACTAATTGATAATCATAGAAGAACCAATGTCAAAACGATTTGATATGAAAAAGTCTGTACAAAAGAATGATGCTCGTCAGGAAAGCTCACTGCCTCACTCAAACACTCGTAAAACCACATGCTATACGTAGCAGCCAAATCTGAACCTCATCAAAGTTAGTTTAGATTGCACCAGTATAGCTGAAGAAAGATGGAACCTTCAGGAACAATGGGGTGGGGCTCTATCTTGGGACATTTGAGACCTGAGATGTCTTTAACTACACTATCCACACGATACCACTAGTCATATACGATTCTTATCCTGTCGTATGTACTCGAATAAATGTAAATTGTCACGAATAAATGTAAATAGTGCAGTGGCGCTGTGGCGTCAACATTCGTTTTCATACGCCAGAATGACAATCGTATGTGACTAGTGGTACCGTGTAAATGGACTTAATATGAGCTTCAGTTAGTTTATAAGAAGATCATTTTTGTTGCTGCTGTAATTGGAATGGTTGCATATCAGATAAAGAAACTATATACTTGAGTTGAGAGATGACCTTTCATAATTTGATTAAAAAATCGAAATTCGGCACGAGTTCTTTTGAGAAACAGTTGAATATTATTTCACAATCACTTTCTGCAAGAATGTCGAGTGTATCTAAAAGTCGAGGGTCGAGAGTCGAGAGTAAAGGTCGAGAGTCGAGAGTAAAAGTCGAGAGTAAAAGTCGAGAGTCGAGAGTAAAATGTCGAGAGTCGAGAGTAAAAAGTCGAGAGTCGATCGGGAGTAAAAAGTCGAGAGTCGGCAAATGTCATCAGAAACAACAAAGTCAAAATATTTTTAACACAATATATAACCGATCCGTAACAACGGCTGATTATAGCCGTACGGGCGAGGGGGGAGGAGGCAGTCCCGCCCCCCAGTCAAAATAAAGTCATGCAAATTATAAACGTATAAATTCGGGCAAAAATTGGGGGAAATAAATTTAAAAAGAAGACAGTACATGCAATATAGTATTTGAAAATACCAGAAATATGTAAAAGTAACGAGGAATCGACAAATAGGAAAATATTTTCGTCTACTTCCCAACGACAATTGTGGAAATTTAGTTACACAGAAAACTTTATTCAGTGACAGTGGGTAAAAGTCGGGTAAATTTTCTTTCTGGCTCCCGCCCGTACGCCTATGACGGCTGAACTAATTTCATTTCCTGTGTATCGGAACATAAAGCAAACAATATTTGTGAAACATAATTAGTAAGCTCAAATTCTCGAAATTAAAGTAAACAAGAGGCATATACAATCAAAGGAATAATCCAGTATATAATATAAAACAAAAACTTTCGCAAAAATTTAGTCACAACATTCAATAATAATAACTATTATCTATAAATAACTAGTTTTATCGCTTCCTTATATATTTCTGTCCATCCTTCTCGCTTTTATATGCACCTATTTCCGCGAAAAATTACTCATATGTGAAGCTACATATAAATACTAGGACTTTACAATCACGTGCGAGACATATTACCACCCGATAGAGTCACATACGACAAAAGAATCCTATTTTCACTGGCTCGTATTTATGAATTTACAATTGTATGAATCGTTAGATTGTGATCAACGTGGATTTCTTAATACGCTCTCGTTTGATATAAACCAGGGGCGTAGGAAGCTTAGAAAAGTTGGGGGGGGGGGCAGGCTTTGAAGGGCACTTTAAAAAAAAAAAAGGCATCTCAAAATTTTTTTGGCGACGTCGGGGTAAAAAATTTTTCCGGACATACCATATTTCTTCTTAAATACAAAAAAAGTTTTCGGGAAAAACCAATATATGATATTTCTCTTGGAAACTAAAACATTTTTTAGGAAAAAACATAGATTGAAGTTTTCAAAAGTTTCGTTGGGACAAAAAATGCAAATTTTATGAAAATTTTTCAGGAACAAAAAGGGCACTTTGCTCCTGGAAAAAGGGCACTTGCCAAAACTTGGGGGGCCATGGCCCCCCTGGCCCCCCCCCCCGATTCCTACGCCCCTGATATAAACGTACGTTAATGAATAAGTGACATTTTAGTTACAAGCCTGGAGATGGCTGACAAAATTCAGCGGAGTTTATGCGTCAGAATGAAATGACATGCGAAAACATTTAGCAAGATTGAGGCATCAAATGCGATATTATTTTCTTATCCAATCTTCTTTGTTTTTGTTATCACCAGTGGCGGCGCCAGGCTTCCAAATTTATTTTTTTTGGGGGGGAGGGCATTTGAGGGGCAAACTCATGGCTATGTAAACGTGGTTAAAAATATTTTGACTTTATTGTTTCTGATGGCATTTGCAGACTCTCGACTTTTTACTCTCGATCGACTCTCGACTTTTTACTCTCGACTTTTTACTCTCGACTCTCGACTTTTTACTCTCGACTCTCAACTTTTACTCTCGACTCTCGACTTTTACTCTCGACTCTCGACTTTTACTCTCGACTCTCGACCTTTACTCTCGACTCTCGACCCTCGACTTTTAGATACACTCAAGAATGTCCAGCTGAGGGATTTTAACTGAGACACGCTTTATGTACTATTTAAAGCAGACATTAAAATACGGAATTTTTACAAGTATGCACTTTGCCTTCAGAGGCGTATTTTTGGTACAAATGCGCAGACTCACGGGAACGAGTGGCGAAGTCACAAGTTTAGCGTCAAAGACGCGAGCTTTTAAGGGGGTCTCTGAAATGGCATTTACAGAGTTCTGAGAACAGAATTTGCAAAATCTTTGGCCATTTTGTGTGGATTACATTAATATATTTTCAGTTTAATATATTTTCAAGTACACACTTTTCAATTTATAAGGGCACATTCGCCTTTTAGAAGGACACAAAGTGTGTACAAGGACACGCTATTTTAATGCCTGATTTAAAGCACGCGTAGGAGTGTTTTATGCTCTGTTAAACACGACTACAAGTGCTTTAAATGGCTTAAAAAATGACTTAATCTTATATGAGTTCATTGGCGAAGTAATTTTTAAAATAAACTTTGTCTGAACCGAGAAAATCAAAGCTAAAGTTTATGTAAATTAACATGATTTTTTATCACATATAAAGATACGACACGCTTATGATTTTTCTTTGTGTTTTGCTCCTGAATTATTAATGAGTTTTTTAAGTATATAAAACAACCGAGTACACTTGTCACCATTTTTATAAACGGTG